ATGTGGGGTGAGGTGGGCACGCCAAAGGGATGAAATAGAATCCAGCTAGATCTAGACAGGTTACAGAGGTGGTCAGATGAGAATAGAATGGAATTCAATGCAGACAACTGCAGAGTACTGCATCTAGGGAGAAGGAACCAGCCACACACCTATAGGCTGGGGAGCACCCTTCTGATCAACACAGTGCCAGAAAGGGAGCTTGGAGTCATTGTTGACTCCAGGATGAATATGAGCCACCAATGTGAGGAAGTGGTCAGTAAGGCTAACCACACCTTGTCATGCATCTACAGATGCATCACAAGCAGGTCCAGGGAGGCGATCCTTCCCCTCTATGCAGCATTGGTCAGGCCACAGTTGGAGTACTGCATCCAGTTCTGGGTGCCACACTTCAAGAGGGATGTGGCTAGTATTAAGAGGGTCCAGAGAAGGGCCAGTCGCATGGTCAAGGGGCAGCAGATCAGGACCTACAAAGAGAGGCTAAAGGGCCTGAATCTATTCAGCCTCCACAAGAGAAGGCTGAGAGGGGACCTGGTGGCCATTTACAAACTCACCAGTAGGGACCAGCAGAAATTGGGTGAGGTTCTGTTCCCTCGGGCACCACCAGGGGTTACTAGAAATAACAGCCACAAATTGTTAGAGAGAAGGTTCAGGCTGGACATCAGGAGGTATTGCTTTATGGTTAGGGCTGCCAGGCTCTGGAATGGACTCCCAAAGGAGGTGGTGCTCTCTCCTACTTTGGGGGTCTTCAAGAGGAAGCTGGATAGATATTTGGCTGGGGTGTTATGACCCCAGCACTCGTTCCTGCCCAGGGCAGGGGGTTGGACCTGATGATCTGTTTAGGTCCCTTCTGACCGTAAGCACTATGAAACTATAACATTCTTAGCCTTCCTCGAGTTGCCTTGGTAGATGCATGCCAGTGTTTCATTAGCTCTTCCAACTAAGGCATTGCATTGATGGCTCATGTTCATTTTGTTGTCAATCATGACACCGAGGTCTCATTCAGTTGTGGTGCTGGCAAGTGTAGCACTGCCAAGTCTGTAAGTATGTTGTGGATTATTTCTCCCCAGATGGAGCACCTTACATTTCTCTGTATTAAACGAGATCAGGCTGAGGTCTGCCTACCTCACAAGCCTGTACATGTTGGCCTGTATTGCCATCCTGTCTTCAAACATTACCACGCTCCCCCATAGTTTGGTGTCATCAGAGAACTTTGCCAGTTCACTTTTAATACCCGAATCCAAATCATTGATGAACATGTTGAAGAGCACTGATCCAAGTACTGAACCCTGAGGGATGCCACTGGTCACTTTGCACCATAGAATCATAGAATCATAGAAGTAGGGTCGGAAGGGACCTTGTAGGTCTTCAAGTCCGACCCCCTACCTGGACAGGAGAGAAACTGGGCTCAAGTGACCCCAGCCATGTAGGCATCGAGCCGCTTCTTAAAGACCCCCAGAGTAGGAGCCAGCACGACTTCCCTTGGAAGTCGGTTCCAGATCCTAGCCGCCCTAACTGTGAAGTAGTTCCTATGGATGTCTAATCTGAACCTACTCTCCAACAACTTGTGGC